AAGTGCTCAATGAAGTTGACATATGTATAATTGGTCGCTGTCACCGTTGTCGTTGCTGCATGACCACTGGTGGACACCTTATTTTGTGATTAGGGCGTATAAAGTTTGGACACAATAATAAAACTCTGTTTTTTACCTTTTTTTCTTGTTACCTTGTTTTTTATTGCTTATTTCTTGGAAGAACTTTTTATCAGATCCAGGACGGTCATATGAGTCGTTTTTTTTCTGTTTAGCAGAAGCAGTTAAGACGGAAGAAAGTAGATGTTAAATTGAACTGCACGAATTGTTGATACGTCAGCAGGAATTTTTTATTTGAGCAGTTAATTTGTCGACTTTGCAAGATAGAAATCATGAAAGAATGCTAGCTTCGAAATGAGGACGAGAAGGATAAGGAATGAAGCGAAGGGAGGGAAGGAGAAGTAGAAAGTAACGGGAAGAGACTGCCGTTGTTGCAGATGTTACCGATGACGGAGGGAGACAACGGTTCGACAGGTTTTTCTTTTTTTAAATTTTAACGTTTTCTTTTATTTTTTGCTTTTTATACATGTTTTTAAGGGGGCTGTTGTGCACATTGGTCGAAAATTTATTTTAATTGTTATTGCACAGTTATTACTCTTCGAAATATTATCGCTGTCGTTATTATTGTTTTATCTATTTTTATTTGTTACCGCTTTGTAGCCACAATTGAAAGGCTGCTTCATTCTTTCGTCACATTCCTTTTTTTAAACAATTCTTCAATTTTTTACCTGCTATTCCTTCTTTTCTTTTTTCTTCTCTTTTAATACATATTATCATTTGCACATTTTATTTGTAAATAATTTATGTAATAATATACAAGTCTGTATATATATACTGAACCTCATCACCTCATCGTTGACCACCTTACCATTCCCCGTTCCGTCCCAATCAAAGTCCTTTTCCTCAAGCTTACTGTTCCTCAGTTCGCTTTCACCGTTCACAGGTTTTAGACTGGGGACCGTTTTTGGTTCGGTTTTTTTCCTTTCTGTTTTTTATTTTCTTAAGCAAAAAAAAAAAAAAAAAAATTATTGTCACTAGTCAAATCACTTAATTCCTCTTAAATTCTTTTTGACAGTAAACTTTATTCAAATCTTCAAATAAAAAAAATTCTTTTTTTCATTTTTTTTTTCAATATTATTTGCTCTGTTGCATAAAATTTCCGCATCGTTTTGCTGTTTGTTATTTCGCCTGTCGGTGTGTTATTTGACTGTCACAGGAAAATTTAATTAATCGTTTTAAAAAATTAAGTTCAAATAAATGATTGGTTGGTGAGGAAAAAAAAATTTTTTTTGTTTGAAAATTTTTTTTCTCTTTCGCCAGTACATCTTTTATGATTGGCATTGATTACGGTTGGTAGAAGTGAGGAAAAATTATGTTAATTAATTATTTCCGACAATGTATTTTCAGCTTTTTGGATGTGCAGTTTTATTTTGATTTTTTCATTTATTTGTTTACTAATTGGGGGCTAATAAACATTCATTGAATTGAAAATAGTAGCAATGGGTTTATAGAACTGCAAAATTGCTGAATCCGTAAGATGGGCTAAATGAGTTTGGATAAAGTGACGATGGGGGAAATGGATACTTTTCGTTGTTGTTATAAAAATTTAGTGCATTTTGATCAAGGACGATGCCTTACATTGATATTTGTCGTTTTGAACAGCAACAGCGACAACGCCACCATCGCCACCGCCATCGCTATCGCCATCGCCATCGCCGCCGTCCTCAGTATCAGCGGTAGCAGAAGTTACATCGTCAGCGTCGCAGCCCTAACATCGACAACAGCTCTATCTGTCATTTTTGTGTGAAAATGCGATTTGCAATATCATTTTTTTCACATAGCAATTATCCAAATACTTTTTTTTTAAGTTTTTGATCTCAAAATTGTTTGATTTTTTTTTTCAAATAGTATCTATGATTTTTTCTATGATTGCTTAACCTGTAAGACGAAAGGAGAAGAAACCTTGAATTGAACAATCTTTTTTTTTTTTTTAATAAAAGATTAAAACTTGTCACCTGAATAATAATAATAATAATAGCAATAACAGTAATATAGTAATGAAAAAAAAAAGAAAAGAATTGGCAAAATTGTCGTTATTACAGCATCGAACTAAATTACCTAACAATTTTATGTTAAGGTAGAAAAAAAAATAAGAAAATAAATTGGAAGGAGAAAAAAATTTGACAACTTAATAAGGCACATTAACGAATGATACAGACACTTTTTTTTTCTTGTTGGTTATACTGCATACTTGAATGCTAAGTGCTATTGGCAGCAAAATACACTTTTGTAGTATGCGTGTCAACGATGTTGGATATATCTTAGCTGTTCGGTGATGGTAAAAGATATTATAAATATGTTAGAACCAAAACCGGTTTTGTTGTGGTACAACTGTCTTCTTAAACGTAAGGAAGTCCTTTAAAAAAAAGTCAAACAAACTTTAATGGAGTTTCTCTTGTTATCAGTAATATTACAGCATTTCATCGTTTTATTCTGTCACCAGTACACTGTTACATTAATCTTTTATGGATATTATGAGGAGATATGGTCGTCTACTTTTTTTTTTTTTTTAACGACACTGTCGTTATCATCTTAGCGTCGTTTTAAATAAAACAGGAGGCCGCCAATTAGTTTTTGTTTTTTTTTTTATTAGAACAGACTAAGAGAAAAAACGTTGAAGATCTGTTAACTTTCTTGTGTCATGAAGTTTTTTTTAGATCACCAATCTTTCTGTCTTAGTGGGACTATTAATTTTTCATTGGCTATTCTTGTAATATGACTGATAAAATTGTTTCAATAATGTAAAGAATAGGAAAGACGTAGAGTTTTTGTGGAGTACCATTATTAGTTCTCTTTTTTTTTTTCATTCATTTTTAAACAACGTTAGGAACTGTAACTGAACTGTAACAGAAATTTTTTTTCTTGGCGTGGAAGTCGCTAATTTTAAGAGAAAAAGGTGAAGGGAACTTGTATTTTTTTTTTTTTTTTTTTGGAACAGTTTTATGACTGAATAGTTTTGGAGTGGAGAGCATTTCTTCTACTACTTTTTTTTTTTTTGAAAAAGTCATGCCAATTTTAGTCGAAAAGCAGCAACTGAGTGATTGAACGATATAAATTTTAATGTATGTTTTTTGTATATTAACATTTCCGTTATTTCTGTGAATGTCATACGCTTTTTTTTTGCAAATTATGGGGCTAAATTTTACCAATTCTCTCACTGTATTCTTCTTTTTTTACCTGCAACGTATTTTTATCTTACACTTTTTATTTGTTTTTTTATTTTTCTTTTTTTTTACATCTATCTTTATTTTTTTTTGTTCGTCTTCTGTTTGTGAAGAATCTTAACAACATGACCTTTGTTGTAGACGGTATTTTTCACAAGCACTTTGTTGACAATGGTAAATTGTTTTTGGGCTGTATTTTTTGTTCGGTGAATGATTATTACTGCGGGGAAACAAACAAACCAAAACATTCGTTGTTTCTTTTCGATGCTCTGATAAATTTTCTTTAAGCTTCTATAACTTTTATTTTTATTTTTATTTTTATTTTTTTTGTTCAAAAATTTCTTTGACACGTTGAAATAAAAATCTACGCTTTATTTGTCTACTAATTTTTTGGACTGAAAATTAGTTTTGATAGTTGTAAGCAAGAATGGATACGTTCTACAAAGGTTGTAAAGAAATTGTAGGATGAAATTGTCTTTGGTATACGATAATTTTGAAATTTTTTTACCTGCTGACTGTTTACACAGTTTTTGCAGCAGTTGCGGAAAAGTTAATTTTCTACTCTTGAACTGCTTGATTTCTGAAGGCTACAAAACAAAAAAAGAAAAAAAAAAAGCATATGATGATGAGAAACATAATAGTTTTATAGATACCAAGGTTCTGAAGGGTTTATTGACATAAATGATCTTCTCCTTCATAATTTTTATTTTCTAAATATGTGTAATGACAGTTTTGCTGAAGCCGTGAGAAGAAACGTTCATAATTCGTGAGTGTGGATTAATGAGTGAAAAAATTTCTGCTACAAATATTTGTCAACAGCAATGATGGCAAAAAAAAGCCTAAGTCGTTT